ATGACATCATGCTCGGCTATATAGAGGGAGCTGGTCAGGGTAGGGGGTATCCCTCTCATTCTCTTTCTTTCCACCTCTCAGTCTGAGAGCTCGCTTCGCTGGGTTCCATGTGGTGAGTCGTCCGCATTAGATATTACTCGCATTATATCTGGTTAAACACTACTGTTCTTTTGCTGTCATTGTTATCATTTATCTTTCATCATTAAAACAAACTTTTTATCTCAACCCCACGAGGTGCTGCCTACTGCCCCTTCCGGGCTCTCCTCCTCACTCCAGGTACGGGGGAGCAAGCAAGCGAGCGACCTCGTGGTTCCTTTGTTTCTCCCTGCCAGTCAGTCGGCTTGAACCAGGACATCTTTTTGGTGCCCAACGTGGGGCCAGGAGTTTGAGATAACAGCAGATTTGTCGAAAGAGTATTAAAAGATTATTTTGTTGGATTGATTTTGCACATTGGTCAAGCAGTTGGTGGTCATAATGTTGGTTTATTTGTTTACACTGTGGCATTGGCTGAATCCCTAGGTATCCTATGTATTTACTGTGATGTTATTTATCAGCTGTGGAAAAGGAATCAAAAGTGTAATTCTTTTGTATGGGGTGATGACAGCTTATGACATGATTGCACCGCTGGCCATGAGAGTAAGCTGGTATTTTTACGAGGCGCTATTGTCATTCTCATGCCTTGGGTGCCTCCTCTCAGAATTCATTAGTAACTACACCAATCCATGGGGAAAGCGGAGGAGAATGTTCTCTCCCACTTATCCTTCAAGCTAATCACAACAGTTTTTGAAAACTTTGAATATTCTCAGAATACCCAATCCAGCATGGTTCTCGTCCTGTGTCTCCTGAATGTGTGTCAGATCTTGCTCAGGGTCACACCAAAATTCTCTAAGGATGTCACACAGAGACCTATCCTGAAGCCAGATAACTATGAGTGGCAAAGTGTGTGGGAGAATATGGGCAATCTCCTAGGACAATGGTCATCTCCAGTATTTTGGAATTTCACCCCTGAACATATACAGAATCCTGAAAAACTAGCAGAGTATTTGCAGAAAGTATGCTGTCAGCTTGGCCACTCCAAAGAAGCCCAAATCACTGCAGTGTGCTGGGGCCTGGCCCATGCCTACTGAGCCATTTTCAATATTACTCATTATCTCCGAGGGGAAGAGGAGGTCTCTGGACCTAAAGACAAACTAGTAGATGATGTGGTTGTTCCATCTATGCAATGAATGGTGTGACTGCCCCAATGCCTGTGACAGGTGCTGCAGCTGCTTCAACCCTCTGTGACAGGTGCTGCGGCTGCTCCAACCCCTGTGACAGGCTCTGCAGCTGAACCAGAAAACCAGCCTGTGCCAGTATCAGTTGCTCCAATACAGAAGAAGAAGTACACGAAGACATTGGTTCACTTGGTGAGGGCTGAAAATGAAGCCGGGTCATCACGAGAACAAGAAGAGGAGGTAGAGCCAGAGATAATCACCCAGTCTCTGTCCCTCAGTGAGCTGCGAGACGTGTGAAAGGATTTTGGCTGCCATCCAGGTGCGCACATTGTTGCCTGGCTGCTCCGATGCTGGGACAGTGGAGCTGGTAGCCTGGATCTGGAGGGGAAAGAAGCCAAACAGCTGGGATCCCTCTCTAGGGAAGGGGGCATTAACAAGGTGCTTGGGAGGCAAACACAAACCCTCAGCCTCTGGAAGCGCCTTCTATCAGGCATGAGGGAAAGTTACCTCCTCAAGGAAGATGTTGCATGCCACCCAGGTAAATGGACCTCAATGGAGAGAGGTATCCAGTACCTGAGGGAACTGGCTGTGCTGAAGGTGATTTGCAATAATCCAGATAACGAGCAGTCACCTGCTGATCCAGATGAAGTCCGATGCACACAAGGCATGTGGCGGAAGTTCCGACGAAGTGCACCACAAACATATGCAAGCTCATTGGCAGTGATGTCCCGGAGAGAAGGTGAGGGACAAACCATGGATGAGTTGGCTCACCGGCTCTGGCAGTACGAAGGAAGTCTATCTTCAACCCTACAGGCTTGTGTTTCAGCTGTGGAGGAACAGTCCCGGGAGGTCCAGCAGCTCAAAGTGGATACGTCCTGCTCTCTGCCCACACGGGCACGTGTCTCAGCTGTTAGGACTAGGTACTCCTCCACTCAAGAGAGGGAACATGGAAGACAAACACACTGGTTTTACCTACATGACCATGGAGAGAACATGAGGAAGTGGGGTGGAGAACCTACTTTGGTCCTAGATGCACGAGTACATGAGTTGCAAAGGGAAGCAGCAAAGAAGGATTATCATAAGAAAACTATTGCTCACGTTTCCAGTGGGAAGCCCTCCAGACAAAACAGGAGAGCAGAATTCATCTCTGATCCTCTTGAAGGAACCTCTAAGTCATACTCACAAGAAGTGAGTGACTCTGATCGAGATTAGAGGGGCCCTGCCTCCAGCCAGGTGGAGAAGAGGGACAATCGGGTTTACTGGACTCTGTGGATCCGATGGCCTGGCATGTAAGCTCCCAAGGAATACAAGGCTCTTATAGACACAGGTGCACAATGTACCTTGATGCCATCAGGGTATAGAGGGGTAGAACCCATCTGTATTTCTGGGGTGACAGAGGGATCCCAGCAACTGACTATATTGGAAACTGAAGTAAGTCTGACTGGAAATGGGTGGCATAAACACCCTATTGTGACTGGCCCAGAGGCTCCGTGCATTCTTGGTATAGACTTCCTCAGGAGAGGGTTCTTCAAGGATCCAAAAGGGTACCAGCGGGCCTTTGGCACAGCTGCTTTGGAGGCGGAGGAAATTAAACAGTTGTCCACTTTGCCTGGTCTCTCAGAGGACCCTTCTGTGGTAGGTGTACTGAGGGCTGAAGAACAACAGGTACCAATTGCTAACTCAACAGTGCATCGATGGCAATATTGTACCAACCGAGACTTCCAGTTGCTCAGTCACATAAAGAATAACCCCACCACCTCGCCTTGTTGGCTTGTCTTTCCTAAAAAGGATATAGCTGTCAAGGCCCATATTCCAGTTATGCGAGTTGTCCCACCACGTCTCTGTAATCGTAGCTTGAATGAAGTTACGCTGCCATTGAGTGCTGCCATGCCAGACGTGCTCAAGCTTCAGTATGAGCTAGAATCGAAGGCTGCCAAATGGTATGCCACCCCTGATACCGCTAATGCATTTTTCTCAGTTCCTCTGGCAGCAGAGTGCAGGCCACAGTTTGCCTTTACTTGGAGGGGCATCCAGTACACCTGGCATCGACTGCCCCAGGGGTGGAAACACAGCTCTGCCATTTGCCACGGACTAAGCCATACTGCACTGGAACAGGGGGAAGCTCCAGAACACCTGCAGTACATTGATGACATTATTGTATGGGGCAATACAGCAGAAGAAGTTTTTGAGAAAGGGAGGAAGATAATTCAAACCCTTCTGAAAGCCGGTTTTGCCATTAAACGTAGTAAGATAAAAGGGCCTGCAACGGGAGATCCAAGAGTAAAGTGGCAAGATGGACGCTGCCAGATTCGCATGGATGTGATTAATAAGTAGCAGTTATGTCTCCATCAGCTAGTAAAAAGGCGACACAGGCATTCTTAGGTGCAGTGGGGTTTTGGAGGATGCACATCCCAAATTACAGTCAGATTGTAAGCCCTCTTTTTCAGGTGACCCAGAAGAACGATTTCAGATGGGTTCCTGAACAGCAACAAGTCTTTGAGCAGATTAAACAAGAGATTATTTGTGCAGTATCTCTTGGGCCAGTCCGGACAGGACAAGATGTGAAAAATGTGCTTTATACTGCAGCTGGGCAGAACGGCCCTGACTGGAGTCTCTGGCAGAGGGCACCAGGGGAAACCCGAGGCTGACCCTTAGGGTTTTAGAGTCGGGCATACAGAGGATATGAGGCCTGCTACACTCCCACTGAGAAAGAGATACTGGCAGCATATGAAGGAGTCCGAGCTGCCTCAGAAGTAATTGGTACTGAGGCACTGCTCCTTTTAGTACCCCGATTTCCAGTTTGGGGCTGGATGTCACAGGGAGGGCCTCATCTACACATCATGCGACTGATGCCATGTGGAGTAAATGGATCGCACTACTCACACAATGGGCCCGAATGGGGAGCCCGAATAGACCAGGAATTCTGGAGGTAATTAAAAACTGGCCAGAAAGCAAGGATTTTGAAGTGTCATGGCAGGAGGAAGTGAACCGTGTGGAAGAGGCCCCACGATACAACGAATTACCAGAGGATGAGAAGCGGTACACTCTGTTCACTGATGGGTCCTCTCACACTGTGGGAAAGCTTCGAAGATGGAAGCTGCTGTATGGAGCCCCACCCAGTGAGCTGCTGAAGCCACTGAAGGGGAGGGTGAATCGAGTCAATTTGCAGAGGTCAAAGCCATTCAACTGGCTTTAGATATTGCTGAGCGAGAAAAGTGGCCAGTAGTCTATTATCACTCTCTCTCTACACTGACTCATGGATGGTGGCAAATGCGCTGTGGAGGTGGTTACAGCAATGGAAGCAGAATAACTGGCAATGCAGGGATTGACCCATGTGGGCTGCCGAATTGTGGCGAGATATTGCTGCTTGGGTGGAGAACCTGGTTGTGAAAGTACATCAGGTAGAGGCCCACATACCCAAGAATCAAGCCATGGAAGAGCACCTAAACAACCAGCAGGTAGATTGGGCTGCTAAGATCCAAGTGTCTCAAGTGGACTTGGACTGGCAGCACAAGGATGAATTGTTCATAGCCCATGACACCTCAGGCCATCAGGGAAGGGATGCAACATACAGATGGGCTCGTGATCGAGGGCTGGACCTGACCATGGATGCTATCGTGCAGATTATCCATGAATGTGAAACATGTGCTGCAATCAAGCAGGCCAAAGCAGGTAAGGCCTTTGTGGTATGGAGGGCGATGGATGAAATACAGATATGGGGAGGGATGGCAGATTGACTATATTATGCTCACACTAATCTGTCAAGGCCAACACCATGTACTCACAATGGTGGAGGCGACCACCGGATGGTTGGAGACATATGCTGTGCCCCATGCCACTGCTTGGAACACCATCTTGGGCCTTGAAAAGCAGGTACTGTGGCGACATGGCACTCCAGAGAGGATTGAGTCGGATAATGGGACTTACTTCCAGAACAGCCTCACTAACACCTGGGCCAAAGAGCATGGCATTGAGTGGGTGTACCACATCCCATATCATGCACCAGCCTCTGGAAAAGTTGAACGGCACAATGGACCGCTAGAGACTACATTGAGAGCAATGGGTGAGGGAACTTTCAAACACTGGGACACAAATTTAGCAAAGGCCACGTGGTTAGTCAACAATAGAGGAGCTTCCAATCAAGCTGGGCCTGCCCAGTCAAAACTCCCACATACTGTGGACAGAGATGAAAGTCCCTGTTGTGTGTAGGAGGAACCTGTTGGGGAAGACGGCAT